CATATTGGTTAGTATAAAAAAGATTTAACAAGTTAGATAAGAGCAAGCTTACAAGACTCAACCTGAAAAGAATATCAATTAGTGAAACTAAAATAAATAAAATTAAATATAGAGAAGCATACATATATAGCTTAGCAGTTGAGAGTATGTTTAAGAAGTTGTACACTAAACAAGTTTCATATAAAAGTGCAAAGCAGAATATTAGATTATATGTTAAGATTATAGAAAAGATGTTCAAAGAAGAAATTTGGTAGCAAAGGTATAGAACAGTAGTCAAATAGGAGAAAAAAAGTATAATAATACTAAAATTAAAATAAAGAAAGATCAAAGCAGTTAAAAATAAAGAATATAGTATAAAGAAAGTTAAAAGTAAAAAAGTATCAGAAATAAAGTCAGAATGAAGAAAAATAAAGAAAGAAAGGTAGAGCATAGGTGGTTGTTTATGGAAGGTGTTGATAAAATAATACAGAATAGAAATAGTCTATTCTGGTTTAGTTCTTGACAGAGCTAACAAAGTTTTACAATCTAGAAATAGGTTGGTATGACGAGTCATATTTAGGTGCAGTTTCTGTACTTGAATGATGCTGAGCTTGCAATTTCAAAGATGGATTACTAGAAATAGATAATGTTTCAGTTAGTAAAATTTTGTATTAAAGCTCCAACAAGGCTGTCAAAGAAATAAAACAAAAATAAAAAAATATTTACATAGCTACTTTTAATAATATTACTATATTATTATATAAAATAAAGGTTAAAGTGCTATTTTTTTTATAATAAGTAGTTTATTTGTTTATTATAAGCATATAAATTTATTTTAAATATTTACGCAATTTTACTATAACATATTGTAAAACTACATTATAATTTTATAATGTTATTTAATTACTTGCACTAAATAGATAAATGCTTATCTTTTATAACTTAGAATTTAATAATATTTGAAAGATAACCAATTTTTTATAGTAGCTTTATTATTCCTTTGATAATTAAAAACCTGAAGTGCTGATTATTATATTTTTATAAAGTTTTGTACTTTGTACAGTGTATTTTTAATAAGCTATTTTTAATTAACTATAGTAACTACTCAATTATAATAATTTAAGCAACCTTGATTATTATTTAATAATATTAAAAGAGTGACTTGAAAATATCCTTAATTTAATATAATATACAGTATCTCAAATTAATTGTTACCAAATTTGTTATAATGATAATATTAATACTAATATAAAATCTAAAAAACTGTATTAATCTTAATCTTAATATTAGCTAAATATATATATATAATGCATTTCATTATTAAAATCAAATATTAGATTAATGCATAATTTCTGAGAATTCTATAAAATAAAAAGAACAAGATTTATAGATGATACTAACTATATACAAAAATTGCAAATAAACATAGCTATAAATTTTTTCTTCTTTTACTTCTTAAATTATTTTTAGTATAGTTGGTTTGTGTTTTAGCTATATGAGACTAATATGGTAGCATTCTAAAAATTATATCTAATTGTATATCTTTAATAGTTCTAGTTAATAAAGAACAAAGTATTTAAAAGCTTTTTAATTATAAATACTATAACAAAATTTTTATGTCTAAAATTTGCATCTGCCTAAAATTGCTTAAAGTTGTATCTAATAAAATTAATATTAGATTCTTCAACTAAGTTAATAAATATAATAGATTAAAATAATAATTGTACAATATAAAAAATAAACAAACTACTAAAAATATAAATTTTTGAAATATATTTGTTAAGATAAGAATTTAGAATTAGAGGTTAGTACATATTAGAATAGAGTTTATAATAAACAAGTATAAGTGGGTTTTAGAAGATTAAATAGAAATCTTATTTCATTTTAATCTTATTTTATTATTATAATTTATAACAATAAATAGTATAATAAATCACAAAAAATTATTTATTTATATTTTTTAAATACAGTATTATATTTGGGTTTTTTAATATATATTTATTTTTATTTGTATATCTAGATCTTTTAATATTTTATTTCTAATTATATATTTAGATTATTAATATTTTACTAAAAATTTGCTCTATATTATAGACCTAAGTATAATATATAAGAGGTCTGATATATAAAAAAGTCTTTTATATAGCAGTTTATAGTATTTAATACTAATTTGTATTTTTTTTTTAAAATATCTCTGTTGTTTTTGTAACTATAAGTGCAAGTGATACTCTTTTTTTTATTAAGATATTATTTTATTTGGTTTTTGCAAGTTTATATATATTGTTATTACATATATTATTAGTGATATTTCCTAGTTCTTTCATATTATGTGCTAACAAGTTTATTTATAGTAATCCAGGTTTCTAGCTCTATGGTATAAGACTTCTGACTTCAAGGTCTACAGTTTTCTATCAATATGGTCTTACAGATTCTGTCTTCTTTTGATATATCTTTTTATAATTTTTTTCTTAATCTGAAAACCCTTATATTATCAATATTTTTTGTTAGATTATCTTCTTATTTGGGTATTGTGTAACTCTGTGATTATGTTATGCAACTTGTTTGTTGCTATAATCCTATAATCCTCTTGTCTGAAAGTAGAAATAGAAAATTCCCTTAAGATCATGAATATTTGTAATCCTAATACAGTTTTTTCTTCAGTTGAAATTGAACTAATGACCTTGTGAATGCAACCTGGAAGTGCTAATTTGCATTTTTTGTATAATCAAGATTATACAAATACTCTATAATCTGCTAATCATGCTAATATGATTATAATTACAAATATTTTGTCTTAACTGATTAACAAAAAAAAACTATTGCAGTAATACAGATAATTGATTAAAATTTTGTTATTAGTAGGGTTTAAACTCTCAATCTGTTACTTAGAAGAGTAACAACTTATTTACTTTACTAAATTGCTATTGAATTAATTTTTCAAAATTATTAATATAGAATATTTTTAATAAAATAATTATTTTTACAATACTACTAAAATATATTATACAGAAAAAATAGTAAGCTAAAGAGTTTTAAATAAGTTATTTTTTAGTTAGATTATAGATATGACAACTAGTGTAGAACTTTTGAGTGAACTACTTAAATTAAACCACAAAAAGTTATATTAGTAACTAGTTGTACTCTCACTACTACAATAAATGTCAGGATACTCATAAGTAGTTTACTTGAGCAAAAATACTAATAAAATTACAAGTTCAATGAGGACATCTTAAAAAAATAACAACTAAAATATACTCTAGATATTATATCTGACTCTATCTTAATCTATAATTGCACTCTAACCTTAAATTTTAGCAAAATATATATATAAACACTATAACATCATAGGTTCATTTTACAATAATTGCATTTATAAATTATTTACAATGATGTAATTTAATAAATTTATTGAATATTCAAATCGCTTTATAAAGAATGTAAAAGTGTGAAATAAAACGTAATAAATGTAAAGTCAATAGAAATCGTATTATATAGTTAATCTAAAGACGGAAAACGGGTTCAAGCTTTAGTCATTCATTCGGTTATCAGAAATGAATTAAAAATGACCCGGCCTGTGACTTATAAATGGGTGAATAACTTGGTGCTTGGGTTCAAACATATGTTAACATTGATTAAATTTTTTAATCTAGACATTTCGCCATCATTTAGAATTTCAACTTCCCTTTAGAATATCAGTATGCTAAATGTCGAAAGTCGAAATGTTTCAACTGTCCTAGCATTACCAACCTCTGCGACCAATAAAAAGATTTCCTTGCGAAATTTTTGTTCTACCTAAAGGTTTATCTGGCCTAACTTCATAGCAAAACCTAATATAAATCAACCCGGAATTTTTTAGGTTGGACAGTTAAATATTTCTGCAAGCTTAAAATAATTTCGGCCAACAATAAAGTATTCAACCTTATGGATACAAAAATCTACGTGTGGGCATTGGCGATTGTGTGTGCACACTAATGAGAACACGTTACGGAATGACTAACTTTTATTTAATTGTTTTAATTGGATTAATCGGTGGTAGATTTTGTTCGACGAATATGAATACTTACCTTGATTTTTTAATTAATGTAAATATATGACTTGATACTACTAACTGTATAGTGCAGGCATTCCGAAAAGTCCAAAGTATTCCATAGCACAAAATAAGTTCGAATAAAAAAACAAAAAAAGGAAACAAAGTCGTGATTCGGTAGTTTGAATATACGGATAGTGTAATTATAAAGTAGCACGAACACTTGATGTTAGATGGTTCGTACCGTATAAGTATATTTATAAACCCTGCTGTCTTGTTTGTTTTAGGGCGGAAACATGTGTTAAAAGGAGGAAACGCGTGAAGATCAATTATATGACAGTATGGTGACGATTAACGGAATTATTTTTTTCGGGTTTATTTTAAACGGCATTGTGATAAATATGAATATCTATTCTGGAATCTGCGCAGTACTAGCACTGATTTTAATTATTCACATAATGGCATCTTTCAGTTTATTGCACTATGAAGCTCTGCAGAATTTATATAAATTTCGAATTTAAACTGATATCATGACTAATCCTGGCAGAATGTTTACGCACTCATAAAAACTATCCTAAAATAAATGTACACGTAAAAATCAATCATCAGTACATTTTCTAGTATTACATATCTAAATACCAGTATAATTTGTGATTTTTGTAAAAGCTTAATCTAGATACAGATAATTTTTCCTACTATCAGAAACAATATATTATTAAGCATCAACAATAAATTATTAAGCCGGGTATCACTGGTTTACTTATATTTTTTTTACATTGAACCCTTCGATCAGTATATATATATATATATCATGTATGACCTGATTAAGTTTTTTAATTAGTTTTATCAATTGTTTATATGTACGGATAAAAGTATAAAATCTACATTTTCAGACCCAGAGCTCCGACAATTTCCACACCTTAGTCTAATAATAATAATAATAATAATAATAATAATAATCATAAAAAATATAAAAATAAAAAAAAACTGCGAAATGAACTACAAACAGATAATTGAGCATATTATAGAATTTTATCCAAATTTTCTCAATAATCCGGTTATCAATGATATTGAAGAGATTGTACATTTAATATCAAATCCTTTAAAAATTACAAACGATAGGGCAATAATAGCGTTGAACGTTGAACATATAGCCCGTAATGAGGTTCACATTACTGACAAGGAAGCTATAAGAATGGCCACCACATATTTCTTATCTCTATTTCAACATCGCCAAAATCGTAATCAAAGAAATATATACAAAAACCTCGCATATATGGTAAATAGATATAATGCCATAAGAAACCGTTTCCATTATCAAAACAATTTATATACCCGTCCTATTCGTGTATATCAAGCTCGAAATTATATTACTTAGATGATCATTATATCAAATAATTAGAAAATCAAAAAAATTAGTCCCGTTACGTATTTACTCTAGGCAACAAGATACATCCTGCGAAAACGAACGAACATTCAACTATCAAGCTTCATATTTATTATAATTAATTTTATTTTATTTTTAGTTGTGATGCATTTCTCCTCTTAACCGCAATTGTTTGTCATCACTATGCAAATATTTAAGTTTTACATATTAATTTTTATGAATGCTTTATTGAACTTAATTAGTTGACGTTTTAAACTTTCGTTGAATTTACGACTTTGCAATTCTATGCGAAAAAAGCGATGAATCATAAATGAATTACGTATATTTGTCGTTAGTTCGATTTACAGTATTATACAATTAGATTTATCTTAAAATGTTATTTCCGATTGTGATCTGTATAAAAAAAATGGCAGCTTATCTATATATGAGTGACTTATGTTCAATTTTTTATTTATGCGTAATACAAATTAGACATGGAAATACGTACATACGTAATCGTATGATGAATACCAAATAAAGTAATTTTGAAATGTAGATTAAAAACGATTTATTAGTTGTAACTGCTATTAAGTACGTGCTTACCAAGTAGGTCTATGTATGAAAAATGCACCAATCAGATCACTTAGATCTCTTCTAATAATCGGCGCCAATAAGATCTCCAGATCAGGTGCCGATAACTCAGAATTTTGTCTATGAAACAACCTTCTGCGCATTAATAAAAAAAATCCCTTGCAAAATTTTTAGTCTATGAGATAATCTACTTTGGTCTCTATCCTAATTAGAGGTGCAGGCGGATTGCCGTAACTATGTGTTACGGTAAAAATTTGTCGTAGCTCATTATAGTTACGGCAAGCCGCCTGCATCTTTAATCCTAACATAGGGATTTATTACTTTAAACATATTGCGCTAGGGTGATCATCAAACTATCCATACTTAATTCCTTTATATTTTATTATATATTATCATCTTGTCATTTATTATGAAATTATTTCATCACTTGCATTTGTGATCAAAATTTTACTTGTAATTATAAATTTGTTTTTTTTTTAGACTTATCAAATCAAACATTGATTAGGGTTGCATATGATAAAATGTTTTTTATGAAAATCCGAATTTTCGCGAATAATACCAACTTTGGTATGCTTTCTAAAAGATCAATCATTATATGCTTGGCTCTCACAGCTATACAAAGTATCATAATCTGCTTTGTATATTAAATTTAATTGTTATTAACTTGGCCTTTCATATATCATTATTTTATTCTATATTTATAAAATAATAGTAAAATAGCAGAAAGTATATTAATATTAGTAATACATATAAGAAAAACTAATTAGCAAAATAATAAATTATTTCTATTATTTTACTTGTAGTTTTTATAACTAAAAGTAAATTAATAAAAATAGACTATTATTTTGCTAATATATTACTATATATTATGTTATTAATAATAACAAAAATTTTATTATTTTACTATTATTTTGCTATTATATTACTGTTATACTACTGTTATTTAGCAAATATAAAATAACATAATAAAAAATCTTTATTCTATTATTTATTTATTATTTTTTTATTTATTTATTTAACTTATAAATACTAATAAATAAATAAAATTATAACCAAAAGGGTGTGGTGACCTAGTAAAGTGGTCAAGTTGTCAACCTTTTAAGTGATAGATTGGATGTTCAAATTTTATTGACAATGAAAATTTGGATAATCACCTATGTAATATTCATATTACAGCAATTGTTACTAATGATTAAGTTAAGATATCTATAATAGCAATCATATCAGTATAACTGGCAGATCATGGGTATTCATATAATAGTCATATAATATTGTTCTTTGAAACAAGGTTTGTAGTTATATAAAGGAATGCAAACTGATAATTGGGTAATATAAACATTAAATAATTTTTTGTAGTTATGTAAATCTGTTAAAATTGAATAATATGAAGTCTATTTAGAAAAATCTAAGTAAAGAGGTAGTTAGATCTTCAATGATCCTACTGTAAAGACTAGTCAAAGAAATGAATACCAAGATCATAATAGCTAGATAAGTAAGAATCTCTAAATTGAGAGTCTCAGAAGTATTACCAATCAGGTTGTTGAAACAAACCAGAAAAAAAGAATATTAGGTCAATCTGATATATTGATAAACTGATCATAGTCCTATACAGATTATTTGAATTGGGACTTTGATAAAAAGATAGATAAAAAGACAAAGCTATACTAAAGTACTGGAATTATGCTATAAAGTAGATATTAAGATCTAAGTAAACTCCACAAGAGCATAGTAGTTTAATGATTAAGCTCTAATCACAAGTTTTGGTTCTATTATAATAATATCTAGATTAATTATAAAAATTGATATAGAAGACTCTGAAGAGTTTATCTCAAAGATAAAATAGTCCTAAAGTTGAAACAATAATCTGGGTATCAGATATAACACAGTAAAGTTAACAGGTTTGCAGATTCAGAGGTTTTAAAGTGAAATACCCAAACAGAGATATTAGGCATACAATTAGTAGAAAACTTTTAAGCAAATTCCTTAAATAGGTAATATAGAAAAGTTATATATATAGTCAATTATATACTCTTCTTATAATAGTTTACTGAACTATATTTACTATTATTAAATAAAGTTAAAAGACCCAAGAGGTCATCTTAATGCTAAAAAAAAAAAAATAATTATAAGCAAAACCTTATCTAAATATTAAAAAAAAACAACTTAAAATAAATCTAATATTTGTTATTTTTATTAACTAAATTACAAATTTAAAAAATTTTAATTATTATTTTATTATTTTGTAAAACTCATAATTTTTTTTTGCAAATCTCTTGATCAAAAATTGTCAAAAAGCAAAATATTAAAAAATATAAATATGCTAAAAAACAATATTTAAGTTTATAATAAAAAAGATTAGAATAACAAAAATTATATTTAGTAAAAAACAAAAATATAAAAAAGAAAATATAAAAACAGCATAAAACAAAGATATATAAAATTTCTAACAAAAAGTAAAAAATTTGTAAAAATTTTGAAGAATTATTGTAATTCTGTTTGATAGATTTTTTAGATTATATAGAAAAGTCTAATAAAACAAAATAAATAAGCAAATATATATATTAAATTAGTTTATTTAAATAAGTATATAATATAAAACATCTATATAGATTAAACTAATCAATAAATAAAAAATAAAAAAAACTAGCTATAAAAAAAAATATATATGAGTTAAGATCTAAAAACTTATTAAAAAAGATGCTAAAAAGGTCAATAATGCAAAACTTACAAGATATTAAAAATACAAAGCTAACTAAGCATTAAAATAATAATAAATATTATAAAAATAAAAATAAATAGATATATAGTATTGCTATTTATAGTAGATATAATAGATATAATAGTAGTAAGAATATTAGATGAAGTTATTTTATAAGTTGACAAAATAGATAGACTAAAAGACTTTAGATTTAAAATAAAAAAAACATATAATAACAAAAAGAGAATAAAGTAGAAAATATTAACAAAAACAAAGAGTAACTAAAACAGAAAATATAAGAAAAAAAATAAAAAGTTAAAGAAGAATATAAAATATGCAAAGCAAATAAGAAAGAGCAAATACTAATAAAAAATTAAAAAATATATATAGTCTAAAAGCAAAATATATAAGAAGTAATAATAAATAGAGAGATTTTATGACAAAGCTTAAGTTCAAAAAAAAGACAAGAAAAAAAAAGCAATATGGCAAGTAAATATAATAGTACTATTAGAGTAAAGCATCTAAACACTGGATAACTGATTATATAATAATAAAATACTATTAATTACAAGAATTTCTATATATAATATTTTAGATAAAACAAAACAAAAAAAAATTAGAATAATAAAATAAATGCTTAATGCAAATAGACATTTTATAAAAATAAAAAAAGTTTTTATAAAAGGTAATATTTAGATTGAAGCATTATTTAATTGTAAAAAAGAAAAAAAAAGTAATCAACCAACTAAACTAAAAAAATAAAGTTTGGTTTAAGATAATCTTAGATAAAATACAAAACTAAAAAGAAAACAAAAAAGATTAAAATAATGCAATAAACAAATATAAAGCAAGAAGTAGATAGCAAAATAAATATATAAAAAAAAAAACAAAGAAAAGAAAAAACTTAAGTACAAAAAATACTATATATTAAAACAGAGCTAAGAAATATTATAAAAGCAAAATAAAGTCTAAATGTTTACAATTAGAAGAAATAAAAAAAATTAGAAATACCAAGATGCTTAATAATTAAAAACTTATTATTAAATATTAAAAGAAACTCAAATATATATACAAAAGCATTAAAGATATGTATATAATATAAATTAAAAAATCACAATATAAGGCTCTAGAATAGATAACAATAAACTCTCTCTGCTAATCCTTAATTTCTAAACAAAGCCAAACAAACATAGTGGAAAAAAAAACAGCTCTAGAAACTCCAATTTGGGCTCTAAGAAAAAAAACTTAGCACACAAAATACAACAACTTTACTTCAACAATAGTATAAGTAAAGTCTTCTTAAACAAAAGCTTTTGCTAGTTTT